GTTGTTGGTCACTAAAAGGGCATAGGGGTGGGAGATCATTCTAGGCAGAGGAAGCAGCTACTGCAGAGGCCTTGAGGTAGGAAAGATGAGGCTTATGTAGGGTGAGGAAGGGGGAGAAGGGGAGGGGAGGGCAGGGTTAGGAGGTGGGCAGAGGCTAGATTCCCCTGGGTCCTCCAGGGCATACTTGAGAGTCCGCATGTTTTTCTAAAGACGATGGGAGCCACTGAGCTTTCAGTGGCTCAGTCCATGATCTAATTGTAGTTTATAAGATCACTCTGGCAGCTTGCTATGCGGAGGGGGGACCTGGAGTGCGGTGAGGCAGGACAATGTGAGGGCATTCAGTCCATCAAGCAGATGGCAGGAGCTCCTGCCGAGGCAGGGGCAGGGGCAGGGGCAGAGGTGAGTCTGAGACTGTTTAGGAGAGAGAATTCCCAGCACTTGGTGAGACCAGGAGCGAATCTAAGGAGGGCTCCCCATCCACTGTGAACACTTTGAGGACAAGGATTAAGTTTTATTGTTTTCTGGATCCATTGCACCTACCACAGATCTGGCACTGAGAGCCAAAATGTTTACTGCACGGATAAATGGTGGTGAGATTTTAGTTTAGGTTTGTCTATGTACAGTCTTTTCCTGGCCCTAGCCCCCCTGTCCCCAAGAAGAGGGACAGTGACCTGGTACTTCCTTGTTCCAATTAAAGTATAATTACTGAGCCTCTTCAACCTTGTTCCAGCTCTAGAAATGTTTGGGGGATGCATGGGGAAATGGGCACCTCACACAGTTAATCCTGGGGCCTCACGCCTGCCAGGGCTGGGCCTGGTCTGGGTGGGGGGGGAGCCTTGCTGGCCTTTCCACAGTGCAAGCAACCCCAGTCTGAGTCGCTGGCACCCCACGCACACTGGTGTCCCAGGGTCCTGTGTCTGAGGTGTGTTGCGTTTAGACCAACCTTATTCCCCTGTGTTCAGGTTTGCTTTTCTCTGACTGGCGGAGAGGGTGAATGTGCTAGAGCAACAGGAGGGAATGCTTTGTGGCAAAGACAGCTGCAGAGTGAGAAAGCCAGGGAACCAGTCTTACTTCAGCCACTGTTGGCTAGGTGGCACCAATGGGACTGTTTCCCTATCTGTCAAACGGGCACGCTCACCGCCTTAGGGCTGTTGTTGATCTGATCCACTGGGCCAGCCCGTAATGTGTCCTGTGATTGGGGACCGGGGTGGAGCTTTGGTTTGTCTCCAGGGAAAGGCACCCATGAGGCACCCATGGTGGGTAGGGGTGGACAACAGGTACTACAGGCCCCCAGCTTCTGGAGCCTCCACCCACATCACTGCTGAGGTTCTGGCTGAGGGGATCTGTCTGTATCCCTTCGGTCCTAAGTGAATCAGGAAGAGCCTGGTGTTCACATTTGACCGCTCCTGCTTCGGGGGTAAGGAGAGTGCTGGGGTTGGTTTGGTCACGTCCTCCATTGAGAAGCTGGGGCTGGAAGCTTTATTGCAGGGGGCTCAGAATGAGAGTGGGAAGAGGCAGTCTGGGGTGACTCCACACCAAAGCGGGGCAAGGAACACCAAGGGTCAACCTCTAGGGAAGGCGAATCCAAACTCTAAGTCCAGGCACCTGTGCCTTCAGTGTGTGGTCTGGAGGGTCGGCACGAGAGGAGGTCAGGACTGAGTGAGCAGGGCTCAGGCCAAAGAGGCGCCTTGCAGCTGCCAGTGGGCACAGGCGCATGGCTGTGCCAGTCTGACTTCATGAGGCCTTAGGATCCAGGCCAGAGTTCCAGGACGGTAGGGCTGCACCAGATGCAGTCAGACCTACGTAGAAACAGCCAGATGAGAGTACATAATGTTAGGATGGGCCTGGTGCTTGGTTCCGGGGCTCCCAGAGCACCCTGCATATCCTGCTACGAGAGCATCTTCTCAGTGCGGGGTGCCCATCTTTATGTGGGTTTATTTTCCCTGGAGGCTGGGGACTGTGACATCCAGCTTCTTAAGCCTGTGACATAGCTCAGGGCCTGGACCAGTGCCCAGTCAGTGCTCAAGACATGAAATGTGGAATTAACAGATGATATACCAAGTTCAGCTCAATAAGCATTTCCTGTGCACCTACTATGTGCTCCATCCCTAACTCATCCCTGCAACTGGGGAGGTTCCCAGCCAATATTTGGTTTGTACTCCTTCAGAAACCATCCCCAGTCCTTCAATGTGGAAGCTCTGCTTGGACCCGAGGAAAAATTACATCCTGCTAAAAGCAAGTCTTTCCTAGATTCTAGCCAGTCCTGTCAAACTGAGAGCCTCTTGGAAGTCTCATAACATGGGCACTCCGCCACATGTGCGGCAGGTTTCTAGAAAGGCTTCCTGTGGGCCACATGCAAGGCAAACTCAGTCACAGAATGGCTTGCAGCGAGGCCTCTCATGCTGGGGCTCTGTGGGTGCCGTGGGACACCCAAGTCAAGGAGAAACAGGGAGCAGCTGCTGCGGCCATCAATTTTACTCGAAGATTTAGAAAAGAAAATGTTACAAATTTTTGTGGACATATACAGGCTAAAGGAGCAGGATCCGCTTTCTACATGAGTCAAACTCTCGCTCTGGAGTGGAATGGGACGTCTGTGTAAGCAGATGAGATGAAGCATGGTTCTTTAGCAGAAATCAGTGCCCAAGCGGGGTAGCACCCGACCATCACCTACTGCACTCAACCCTATTCGTTTCTCTTGTGCCAAGAGGGCTACTTTCGTGGATACGTGTGAGGCTCTCCAACGGGTGGTATTCCAGTGAAACGGCTCTGAGCATGTGTGCACATCATCAGTTGGTTCTGCACTCCTGTGCCTCCCATAAGCCACTGCTAGCACGGCCCAAAACCGGAGCCAAGAGTTAATGATCTGGAATCAACGTAGGATCTCATTTTCAGGAATTCTTAGAAAATAGATGAAGTCTAGGTCTGATTCTGCCACTGACTTACTCTGTGATGTTGAGTAACTCTCTTCCCTCTCTGGTCTTCAGTTTCTCTATCCGTAAAATGGGAAGGATGGGCTGTACAATCTTTCTGAGGTTCCTTTCACCATTAGCATTCTGTATTAGGCCTTTATTCCCTGCCCAGCTGGGTACAATTTAGATTCAACCAAGATTTATCTAGATCCAACTAAAATGTATTGTGAGCATACTTTCATATACATTCTTTATTTGTGTTCTCAAAACCCCAGAAAGGTAGGTCTTATTATCTTGATTTTGTAGATTACAAAACAGAGGCTCAGAGGAATTTAGTGTGTTAACTGAGGTCACACAGACAGGATGTTGCAGAGCTGAGATCTGGTCTCAGGCCTGTTTTTGGCTTTGTGTCCAAGGGGCTGAGAACAGACGCTGTGTACTCAATAGCAATTCAGCTTCCTCCACCCCTCCCTCCCTGTCTGCCGAGGAGCTCAGCTCTAGGCACCAGTGTAGGGGGTTGAGGGATAGAGATGGGCTCTGGCCGGGGATGTAGGCCACTGGTAGGTACTGGTGGACTTTGGCTGGTGAGAGTTGGCAATGTTCTGGAAGGCTGGCGAGGGCAAGTTATCAAGGGCTGAGAGCAGTGTCTCTGGCCCAGCCTGGGTCTGGCTCTCCCAGGTGAGTTCTCTAGGCCCCATTTGTGCCTTAAGCTTAAGGAGCTGCCTGCTTTTTGCTCTGCTTTGCCATCTGGGAGCCCCTACCTGCCATGTGGCTTGTCATTCCCAGAGACCCACCCTCAAACATTCTTGTCCACATTTCCCAGCACCCACAGGCTGAGGTAGGGAAGGAAGCAGTGTGCTGCAGAGACTGAGCTCAGAGCTCTGTCTTGACAATGAGGAGGGCAACTTCAAGTGAGGCTTTTATTGCAGCCAATTCAATCACCACCAGTCTGCATGCAGCAACCACTTTTGAGATCTCAGTTCTCAGAACCATGAGGTGGCCTCAACACCTGGTATGACACTGGGCAAGTAAATTTCTCTCTCTGGGCCTTAGTGTCCTCATCTAGGCACTAACCAGCTGGTTGGGCCCATGGATCTCCAGTCCTTCCCAGTGGTGGCATTTTAGGATTCACTATCTTTGACTTTACCTTCCCAGAGGCAAGAGGACAGACCAGATGCCTCTGAAGGGTGCATCAAGCTTAAAAATTACCCTCTCTCCCTGCCAGGATGCTCCCATTGGGCAGCCGCAGGTGCTGCTCCCTCCCTCCGCACCAAAGGCGCACCACCACCAGCCCAGGCCCCTGCAGATCCAGGCCTGGCACTTCAGTGTTGCAGCTCCGGCGCAACGCGAGGGCAGCGCTAAAGCCACCGCTGCGGCGACGGCGGAGGCTCAGAGGGCGGGGGAGGATAGAAGCGCCCACTTGTCCCACGGCCCCCGCAGCAGCCCTGGCCCTAGCCCCGCCGCGTCGGGGGGGTGGGGGGGTCCTTGGAATCCCTCGGTTTGTTGCTTGGGCCTGGGGCCAACTGGGAGTCCATCACCGGTTCATGGCATCTGAGGCCCCGCAACCCCCCAACTTGGCAGAGCCAGCCCAGGCTCCCAACTGCAGTGAGGCAGGGAGCTGCGGAGCGGGGACGCCTCGGTCTCGCCCTTCCCATGCCTAAGCGCGGGGAATTACACCTCTCAGGTCTGGGGCAGATGATCGCTATCCGGGCCTGAGGGGTGAGAGTAGGGGTTGGGAGGATCATTTTTGGCTGGATGTGGGTCCACGTTCATCGGCTCTGTCTAGTCCTCTCGACACCATCTCCCGCCGCATCTCCGCGTCTCGGCCCCTCTGTCCCCGCCTCCCATGGAGCTCGCCAAGCGAAGAGCAGCTGCAGCCCGCACCTACTCCCTGTCCGCAGTCGCTGCCCACTCTGCCCCGCGGGAGCTCACCCTCCCGCTTGGGCCAACCCTCCCCTCTTGCCGAGGGCGCCGAGGATGCCAAGAGTAGAGGGACCAAAGTTCGGGCGCCATCGGCCGGCCGGATGAAGGCCCTGAGCCCCAAGGGCCGCGGTCTGGACGCTGGGAGGTCAGACACCGTGCTTGCCTCACCTGTTTCTCCAGTGGCTCCTTGGCCGAGAGCGCAGGCTTGGGGGAGGGCGCGCGGTCGCAGACGCAGCCCTCCAGCAGGTAGAGCCCTGAGGGCCTCGAGCTGGAGTCGCTCTCGAAGTAGAAGAGCAGATTCTGCAGCAGCGCGAACCACTTGGTTTGCCATTTTGTGTTGTCCGAACTCCGCTTGCTCAGGTAGCCTTTGCGCGTGCCGTCCTTGCGCGCTAGCAGTCCTAGGGACGCGACGTGGCCATCGTTCAGCCGGATCCCCTTCTGCATGGTGCTCGGAGGCCAGCTAGACCCCACGCGCTTACATCTTCTCCGCGCGGCACCCAGCAGCTCCCTGTCCGTGCGCGCTGCCTCTCTCTGGCGCTCGCTCCCTCGCTCCTTCTCGCTCTCCCCTCCCCGCAAATATCTACACTCCGGGATCTGGCAATGAGCCGCGGCTTCTGGAATCCAGATGTACAATTGCCCACCGGAACCTTTTCTCCGCTCCCAGAACCACCGTGCCGCTCGACCCTCCCCCGGCGCAGGGCAAACTGAGGGACTGGAAAGCTGCGCGCTGGCGAGGGGCAGGCGGAGTCATGTGACGCCGATCCCTCGAAGAGCCCGTTTCGGCAGCGCGGACAGGGACACACGCACGCAGCCCGCCGAGGCGCAGAGCGGCGCGCAGGCTGCACCTTGGCGCCTCCTCCCCCTCCCCGGACACACACACGCACGAACACGAATCCTGTCCTCCCTCCCCTGTTCTCTCCTTCTCCCCTTTGGGTGTTAAAAAGGAATTCAGATCAATTTTCATTTAACCGAGTGGAATCCCGGAGGCTCGCCATCCCGGGAGTTTGCGTCTCTGTGCCCCACCGCGGCGCAGTGTAGATCTGGGGCGAAGTCCCAGTTGTCATTTTCTTCTCCAAAGGCTTCCTCCTGGTACTTAATTTTTCTAATCTGAGGTGGATGGAGGAAGGTGGATGGCGAAATGGATCTGAAATAGCTTTCAGTCCTAATATTTGCGTAGTCGGCCAGGTCACTCCTGGCGATTCCTCAGCGACTTGCGGACAATACAGGGGGTGAGATGGAGAGGGGAGAGGTGAGCGGTGAGCGCTTATTTTATTTTATTTTGAGTGTTTCCATAATTACCAGCGCCACCCCTGCGTCCTGAGGTCTGGCTGGCGAGCCGCTGCTATGAGTTGTCTGCAAATACCCCCCCCCCCCCCCCCAAGCCTGAAGGCGGGCTTCAAACACAGGCGCCGGGGACCATGGGAGCCTTCAAATAGCTGCGCTGGCGCAATGATACCTTAATGATAGATTTTCCGTTCTTATTTTTAGCTTCCATTCGCCTACACAGTTACACGGCATTTATCCGAGAACGTCACAGCGCCCGCGTGCTGCACCGGGAGGGCGCGCGGGCCGCCAGGCGAGCCAGGGCGCCCGAGCGGGGAACGCGCACCACCGTCTGCCGCAGAGGGCAGCGGCCTCGCTCGGACTCGGAGCGGCGCTCAGCCCGGCCCTCTCTGTTTGCAGCCGGGATGGGCGGCCGCGCAGCCCTGGAGAGGAAGGGAGGAAGGGAGGACAATAATTTTTCAGCGCCGAACCTGAACCTGCGGGCACCCTTCCCCCTCCCCTCACACACACACACACACACACACAGACACACACACACAGACACACACACGGTCAGGCGCTAGGGAAGGCGCCTGAGAATCGGGTAGCCCTGGGTAGGCCCACGGGAGTCCACGGAGAGAGCCCGCAGCGGAGGAACTGGAGCTACCGCCACCCACTCTAACCTGGGCACAGAGGCGCAGGCCTGCGTTCCTCGGGTGGGGCACATTCCGAGGGAGGGACTGACCGTGTTAACCTTACTTTTCCCTCTCAGTACCCACACTCCGGACACGGAACTCTCTCCAAGGACCAGGTGAGGCTGATTTTTCTTCACGAATAACGAAAACAAAGAGGGGGAGACAGCTAAGACTTCCTTTAGCCTTGATTTTCCCAAGAGGAACCTTACACTGTGAGCACCTTTTCTTCTCTTTTGCCCTCTTTGTGGAAGCAGAGTTTCCAGGAGTGGGGTTCTGCATCTGGGCTCTCTTCAACTAAACTCTTTAATTAGGAAGCCTGATATAGAGGCCAAGAAAACTTCAGGGAAAGGACACTGTTCTAAGTGTTTTAGATCAATTAAGTCATTTAATCCTCACACAGCCCGATGGAGTAGATACTCTCCACCCCAATCAGCTCCATTGTACAGATGGGGGAAACTGAGGCACGGAGGGGTTGAGTGACTTGCTCAGAGTCACTCAGCTAGGAAGTGGCAGAGGTGGGATTTGAACTGGGTAGTCTGTCCCAGATCTATGTAGAGCCTAGCGGGGGTCCCTCGGTTGTGGGGGGGGGGGGGGGGGTTGGCTTTTATCCTAAAAGGGAGCAGGATCTCTCAGGTGGGCCAGAATCAAGGTTGGAACCGTGTGGAGGCTGTTGTGACTGGGAGCCCTATGGGACATGAGTTCTGAACCTGGACCGCACATTGGAATCACCTGGGAACATTTAACAAGGACCCACAAAAGGCCATGAGTGGATTGTACACTTTCCTGAGTGATCTGAACGTGCAGCAAAGTTGGAGAACCACTAACATATGGCAGAACCAGTGATACAAGCCTACCCACATGAATCCCCTGGGATCGTGTTAAAATGCAGATTCTCATTCCAGGGCAGATTCCTGAGAATCTGCATTTTTAACAAGCTCCCAGGTAATGTGGCACTGCTAATCTGCAGACCACATTTTGGAGCATTTAGGGCTCTCAGGAGGTGGGAGGGGATCGGATTCAATCATTCATTCATTCACACATACCTCATCCCACCAGTGTTCGTTGAACCCCTAGCCTGTGCCAGGCCTTGGCCTGGGCCACTGAGGACACAGTGATAAGCAAAACACAGTCTCCGCCTCGAGGAGTTTAGACCAGCCCAAGGGTCTCTTCTCAACAGAGCCCTTAGTGTAGCAGCAGGAACACCACATTCCTCCGGGTCTGGGGAAGAGGTTCTGAGAGGCATAAACCAGGAAAAGAACTGAAAGCACTTCAGGGCGTCTCAATCGTGGTGCACTTTAGAACCACTTGGAAAGATTTAAAAAATCTCTGTGCTCAGGCTGCATGCCAGGCACTCTGAGGGTGGGGCTTGGGTGTCACTGCTTTTGAAAGCCCCCTAGGTGATTCCAATGTGCAGCCAGCACTAAGAACCACTTTCCTAAAGCTATGGCCAAGAAAATCCCCTCTCAACTTCCTCCCTCCTCACAGCTGGCATTGGGGAGGCTGAGTGGCCCCCTCTTGCTGGTCTTGGAGTTCCTGGTGAGAACTCCAGGAATTCCTGGTGGGGCAGGCCACAGTGGAAGGCTGGGCTTAGCTCAAAGTATCCATGTCAGAGAGAGGAGGTGGCAGCAGCCTTGACACTTTGATTACTCCCCTCTGAGCTCTATGCATATTGCTTTTTCTCCAGTCTCTGTGGGCAGAAACTGAGCAAAGCCTGTGAGTGGGCCTTCCGGGCATTCCCCTGATCTCCAGCTAGAGTTCAGGGTCCTTGGAAGGCACTTAGAGGAGGTGGCTAAGAAGACCTCATTTACCAGGCTGGCTCCAGTTTGGGCTGGGGTGGGGTGTGTCAGGGAGTGCGTTGAGGCACTGGCAGAGGTGGGTACATGTAGCTGTCTTGTGTGCTGTCCACCAGGCCTGAGGCAGACCCTCCCCAAAAGTTGGAGAGGGTGTCCACAGGAGTGCCACGAGAGCATCTGGGTGTTGCCTGGTTTCATTCCACATTCCCAATAAGGCTTTTGGACAAGAGTTAATAACCCCATTTCACAGATGGAGAAACTAAGGCCCAGAGAGTGGAAGCAATGTGCCCAGAGTCTTACAGGGAGGAGTTGAGATGAGGTGTCCTGACTACTCACACAGAGCTCATCCCAGAGGATCTCCCTCTCTTCCCACCTTCCAGCTCTCTGGGCTGAGCTCTCTGTAGGTAAGGAAGCAAAAAGGAGAATTAAGTATTTTGTTGGGTTTGACTCTGCATTTAGAAATGGCTAGTGGATGACAGGGGCATTGCCCAGTCCAAAACCCTGCTGAATCTTCATGGGAGGATTTTTGTTGGGCTTCTGGCTGAGCTCCACTTGGGCATTTGTTGAGATGGGTGTTCTGTGGATCTGACTGGTTTTGGGGCCCTGGTAAGTGGGGACTTCTGTGGTGTTTGTGTGTGTATGCAAGTTTCTGAGTGGTGCAGTGTGTACATGAGAGGTATATGTGTAGTGTGTGTGTGTGTGCAACGTTTAGAGAACCTTTGCTTTTTGGGCAACATATTCCAAAAGAAAAATGTAGCTTCCACATCACTTAAAAAGAAGAAGAATCGAGTGTGTGGAGGCAGAGGCATTTTTGGAAATGGAGGCTTCGCCCATGAGGGTTTACTGCTCCCCCTTTGGGCTCAGTCAGTTAGCTTTGCCCAGGCACCCATATGCAGACCCCAGCGGGTTACCCCTTTACTTTCTAGCCAGTGAAAATAGCCATGTTATTCCATCTGAGTACAAGGATGATGCAGGCTCTTGGTAAAAAATGAAGACAATGTAGGACACAGAGAGATAACTCCAATGATTTTCTTCTTTTGCTATCTAATTTTCTTGACTTTTTTCTATGCTAATATATTTACCAAAGTGGGCTTCTATAATACAGGCTGTTTTATAATCTCAATCTCTCTCAAGCTCTCTCTTTACTTACAGCGTGTGGGGCTATTTCTCCGTATTACCACAAATTTAATTAATAGATTCTTTATGATTGGGCATTTAGGTTGTTTTCAATTCATAGTTTTGGGAAATAATGCTGCCATCTTTGTATATGCATTTCCCTCCCTTAAGCTAAATTCCTGGAAGTGGCATTTCTAGGTTGGAGGAATGTGCATTTGAAACACTGGCCCATATTAACAGATTCCCAGAGACAGCCCTTACCATTTACATGGCCATTAACAGTGAACGAGACCCCATTTCTCCATCCATTTGTTAATCCTGGATGTTAATATTACCAATCTCTTAAATATTTGCCCATTTTGAAAGGGCAAAGATAATATCCCTTTCTTGTATTAATTTTCATTTCTTTTTTTGCTTGTGAGGGTAGACATTTTTTAATGTTTATAATCTTTCTCATTCCTTCTTTTGTGAATTTCTAATACCTCTTTTTTATGTGTGTTTATATTTTTCTTGTAGATTTATCACAGTGCTTTATATATGAAGGATAGTAACCATCAACCATCACATATGTTGCAAATAATTCCCATAGTTTGTTGCTTCTCTTCAATCTGTATATCTATATCCACAAATTATGTATGTCTTTTTATGGATTGTAAGAAATTTTTAAATTTGGGTGTAGACAAATCTTTTTCTTTTTTTAAAGATTGGGACCTGAGCTAACATCTGTTGCCAGTCTTCTTTCTTTTTCTTTCTTCTTCTCCCTAAAGCCCCCCAGAACATAGTTGTATATTCTAGTTGCAGGGCCTTCTGGCTGTGCTATGTGGGACGCCGCCTCAGCATGGCCTGATGAGCGGTGCCTCGTCTACGCCCAGGATCCGAACCAGGGAAACCCTGGCCCACCGAGGCGGATTGCCTAAAATTAACCACTCGGCAATGGGGCTGGCCCTGTATCTTTTTCTTTATGGTTTCCGATTTTAGACACCCTGCCCTTGTGC